AAAGTAACTTTTCACTCATTTTAACATGGAAGCTGTTGCAATGAAAGGGTTTTATTTCACTCCGAGCCCTTTCCAAAGGGCTCCCAGACTGGGATCAGTCCCTGTGTATCAGCAGCCCTTTACTCTTCTGTTGGCCTGAGCATAATTTGAATTTTAACCCAAAAGGTATTCCTGCTAAAGTAAAATAATGCCCTCTAAATAAATAGAAATGCAGATTATGGAGGTGGAGTCATCTTCTGTAGAAGTTTCCTCCCTCTGAGGTTACATTCTGTTAATAGTTTGCCTCAAGCTCAGCACTGTCGTGTGGTGTTTTGTGTATTTCTACAGAGTGTATCCTCCTTGTTGATAGTCTGGGTCATTATGGCCTGGTTTGTTTCACGTTTTTAACCCAAAAGCATATTAAAACTAAACATATCTCTTTCACAGGAGAGAGTGTTGTCTCGACAGAGAGATTGCTGCCAGTGGCTACACAAAAGAAATGCAGGAAGATGGTGAACTGCTTTACCCATCAGGCTCTGAGGGGGATGACAGTGCAACAGAGCTGTTAGAATTTGTAGAAGGTTCTGAGGACAAGCTCAACTACTTCAGCAAAGACGAAGAGAGCAGTGCAGACCTCACGTCTGAAGTGGGTGATGTCTCTGAGAGCAAAACCTCTAACAACACCGTGTACAGCAGTGAGGAAGAGGCTGAAACAGCTGGAAGTAGTGAAGATACACAAAGTCTGAATATGTCAGAGTTGAGTTCAGCCTTGGAAAATGCTGAAGGGCAAAATATGCATTGGAAGTTGAGTAAAGATGCAGAGAGTTCTGAAACTGATTTTTCTAAGAGCAAAAGAATAACTGAAAATGCTGCTGAAGTGGAAAATCAGAGAGGTGAAGGAGAGTGCAGTAAGGATAAGGAGAACGAAGATGAATGCCCTGAGCTGGTTGACTCATCAGCTTTAGATGAGAAGTTTGGGCATTACAGGTAAAGATTCCTATTTACCATCTAGGTGTGTTTCCACCCAAAGAAAATGTAAATCCTTAAGTAGCTCAAGGAGGACTACTCTTCAGCTCCCCTTGTTTAAACTGAAGACTAAAGACTCATTTTATTTTGAAAACATTGCAGTGAATATCTTTCCTATTGCTCTCATGATTGCCCAGCTGTGCAGTAGAATCTAATGAGAAAATAGGTCTTGCACTTCATTCATAGACAAACCTGACAAACCTATTGTCTGTGGTGGATTTTTTCTCCTTTTTCTGTATTTCAGCTAGTATTGGTAGTGAATGAGTTCTTGATGTTGAAAGTACTACTTCTAAATAACTTTCATGGCTAGGTTGTTAATTCAAATGCTCTGTGTCAAAGCCAAATTGTTCTGCTGCTT